CATTGTGTTCTTTTATGATGACTGTGCCCTTGTAATGTTTGTTAAATTAGAATGAGTAACTTCCCTACAGTGCTTGTTGTTGTGTAGTTGTCGTACCTATGTCCAAAACGTACACAATCAGTAAAAGAAAAGAAAATGGAAATGAGGACTTAGGTTTTAAATGTCTTCATATATAATTCTTGTCATATTGAATTTAGGCTCTGTTGATTTAAACTTCGAGTTGGTCATTTTCCTGAGCTGATTTTTCTCTTGGTGGTTCTGTGGGTCATTCACCAAGCAATAACACCTCAGTAGTTAATGAGCCCCTGAGAATAGCAGCTTAATTACCAGAAATCTGAGATTCAGAATGATAACATAAAGCAGATACAGAACATTGTCCCGTCTGAGTGTCTTTTTGTTTACGTGACCAGTAACTGTTAAGCACATCTGGTAAATCGTGACTTAGTATATCAACACAAGTGGTAAAATACATGAACATAGCAGTCTTCAGGTGTAGCATGTGGAAAGCAAAATTAACAATAACCACACAATTAAACAGAAGCTATCTGTAAGGGGAAAGAAAGGTCTGATGGTACCTTAAATATAACTTAACACTCACTAATTTTTTTTTTTTTTTTTTTTTGGCCTTTTTGAGACAGCATCTCCCTGTAGCCCTAGCTGGCCTGGATTCGCTATGGAGACCAGGCTGGCCTCAAACAGAGATCCACCTGCCTCTGCCTCCCGAGTGCTGGGATTAAAGGCATGCGCCACCATGCCTGGCTCACTAAATATTTTTAACTGCAATAAAAGTGTGTTAATTGTAGATGTATCCTTTTGATAAGGCCTCTTTTTTTAGAGTAAGTTTTCTTTTCTGAGAATATAAAAGTTTACTAAAATAATTTCTTTGCTTTTAGTTCAGTGAAGAAAAAAAAAAAAAGAAAACCAAAATAGTACATGGAAGTTTTTGTTTTGAATGTATGTATGAACTAAATCTAACTTGTATTAAAGTGATTTTGTGGGTTTTTTATTTTTGTAATGTTCATAAAATATAATTTGGTGATGTTTAGATCCTCTCCCCTATCCATATCTCCTTTTACTGCCCCCCCCAAATTTAATGTATTATTTTTCTTTTTATTTACTATTTTTATGTGTATGCATGTATTGCCTGCATGTAGGTAAATGCACCCATGTCATGCAATGCCTGCAGAGGTCAGAAGAGGCCATCAGGTCTCCTGGAAGTGGAGTTATGGACAGTTGTTAGCTGCCATGTGGTGCTGGGATTCGAACCCAGGTCTTCTGCAAGAACAACCAGTGTTCTTAACCACTGAGCCATCTCTCCAGCCCTAATGTAGTCTTCACATACACACACATACACACACACACACACACACACACACACACACACACACACACAGTGCAGCCCTACAGCCATAGAATCTGGTTTGTGTCCTTCAGTATGGGTCCATCCACTAGAGCCTATTAACCTACCGAGTCCTATCCCTGTAACAGACTGTCTCTCCACCCCCCAGTAACTTGCCAAAAGTTCCTTAGGTTGGGTTGGGATTCCTTACCCACTTCCCCACATCTGTGCTGGTATTTTGTCTGGTTTGAGTTTGCATGGGTCTTACACATACTGTCATCATTGCTGTGAGTTTGTATGAGTAACTGGCCAGCTGTCTGGAAAACTCTGCTTTCTTGTGGTCAGTCATCTACCACCTCTGGCTCTTATAATCTTTCTGCCCTCTCTTCCATGATGGTCCCTGAGCCTTGGGAAGCAGAAGTTTAAAATAGGTGTCCTGTTCAGGGATCAGCACTCTGCAGCCTCTTATTCTCTGCACATTGGCCAGCAGTGTTAATCACCTTTTGCTATATAAGAAAACTTCTCTGATGAGAGTTAAGAGATGCAGTTATCTTATGTATAGATGTTGCATTGTAGATACATATTAGATGCACTTAGGGCTAAGTGTCTCACAGACACTTATTCCCTGCATTTGACCAGTTGTGGAACTCTGTAATAGTCTCCATCTGTTGTAAAAAGAAGCATTTTTGATGAGTGGTGAGAGTTACACTTGTCTGTAAACATGAGGATGCATATTTAGAATACAGTAAGAAATTACATTGGTCTTAGGGATATGGCAAAAGTAGGCTTTTCTCTAGAATCTATGACCTCTCCAGCCATGTGTATTTGGCTGTGTTTACTAATTCCTTGTTAGTCCCATGTCATTGCTTTAGTCGTAAGATTCTTCTTGAAAAATTTAAGAATTTCTCCTCAATTTTCCTATATTTTTATAAACACAAGAATATTGTATTTTGCTTTATTGTTGTTACATGTACAAATTATTAAGTCTTACATAAAATTAATACTGGGCTGGCAAAATGACTCAGTGGATAAAAGCACAGCACGAACCTGATGATCTGAGTTTGATCCCTAGATCCCACAGTGGAAGGAGAAATCTGTCCACCCCCACCACACACACAAATAGATAATAAAAAATTTTCTAGAAAGTGAACTATGCTACATATCCAGTAATAAAGATTTTTTTTCTTGTCTGTTTCTGAATTTCCCCCACTTCTTGAATTTGTTTTAAGCCATCATTACCAAGATCAATTCCTGTGTTTCCAGTGTAGCTCTACCTGTGCTTCTCAGTGCTGTGACCAGTAGCTTTACAGTGCCTTAAACAAGACCTTGGTAGACATCACGTAGATCACTTAGTGAAGTGTGCCGAGAGCTCTTTACAAAGAACTTTTCAATCTCCACCTCCCTATTCCACTCCTCATCCCCGCTAAACCTCCCCACTATGTGACAACGTGTTAATTCCAGGTTCTTGCCCTAGAATTATTTAGCAGAGATTCTGGCAAAGTAAAACAGTGGAGGAACATGAAGTATTTGTAAAGCAGCACATTAAGATTACACATTAACCATAAAATTGTAAAGAACCGCATTCTGTTTAGTTTTTGAGATGGGAAATATGTGGACAGTTTGACACAGAAGGACATTGAGAACTGTCCTATTTGGTGTAATAGGCTAGAAATGGCAGTTGGCTCATGCGGTGCTGCAGTGGAGAAAGCTTCGTTCAGGTGTCTGTGGGGTTGTTAAGAAACTAAAGTACAGCAGAAACTAAAGTAAAGCAGGATGTTTTACGAGAAGTTTGAGCAATAGTTTCCATAGAAATACATAAATTTTTTCTAAAAAACAAGCTTGCTTTCTTCTTTATTTTTAAACACTGTGAACCAAACAATATGCCTGTCAGAAAAGAACAGGAATCTGACTTACACGGACTGCTAAGGAGCGTAGTACGGCACGGTCCACGCCGTGTGTTAGCGCTCATTTTATTTGTCGGTGTACTTTTCTTCCAATTGTGTCACTTTGAATGACTGTGAGTGAACACATTCTAAAGGTTTTAGACATTTAAGAATGCATATATTTATATATCCTCTGTCTGATACCCAGGATACCTTACTCCATTTGTTTGTTGCTTTGTCTACCACTGATACTCCTGCAAGATGATTTAACTATTTGTAATTTAGAAGAGTAGCCTATTTAGTCACATTTTTTTTTCTTCTTGGAACAGTAACTATCATTTTCAATTTGTAAGAATTAGAAGTACATAAATTTTATGTATAGCCACACCTTATTTTAGTTGTACACTAAGATTTGAAAGATAGGTAAATTTCAGAATATATAACATTCAAAAAATACTTACCTTAGCATTTCATTTTTTCATGGAAAAAATGGTAATTGCTGTAATTGAAAAATCAGTCTAGAATAAAATACTCTGAAAAAATACTCTAATTTGATAATAAGTATTTGATAATAAGTATTGATAATAAGTATTTGGCCAGATGATCTTTAATAAACTGCAGTGATACATATATATGGCTAGACACTGTTTATCACAGCTTTGTTACCTCCTTAACTGTAATACTCCAGAAGCAAAATATTTGATTTTCCTTTGAGTTTCTTCCCTTATTAACTCCCATGTGGTTATATTTGGTTTCAAATTGTATAAAGGAAGGTCTTCACTAATCTTTTTTAAAATTAATTTTTAAAGAATTTCTTTTATATTTTATAGCAGAAATTTTGAATTTCTAATTCTCTGCTATACATCAGACATAGAAGCCTTGCTGAAATTCTTTAGTAAAACAGGCTAATTAAAAATTTTGTAATCCTATTAAATAAAATTAGATGTAAATGGATCAAAGCATAGCAAACCAAACTTTAGTTTCTTGAAAGGATTAGGTGTAAATTTCATAATTATGAGTTTTGGAAGCTAAGGTTACACAATTACGTACCAATATTTGGCATTCTCATTACTGATGGCTGTTCTGTATTCCTTTACCTGGTCAGAGAAATCACCGTGATGCGCACTCCCAGAAAGATAGATTGACTGATTAGATATATTTGTCTAAAGCCAAAATATGTTTTTACTATATTTTCCTTTATAATAACTATTCCTGACCCTACCTCCAACAAATATTTAGGGCAACTACAGTTCTGACTACATACTTGTTCTCTCTTTTTGTAGGGATTTGTGGTCTCTATTTCATATGAACATTTTCTCTTGTTTCTAACTCTCATGCTTATGTTAACATGTATAGGAATAGTGTATTTTGTGTATATGAGTGTTTTGCCTGCATGTGTGTAAGTGCACCATGTGTGTGCAATTGCAGGAAATTCAGAAGAGGCCATCAGATCTCCTGGAACTGTAGTTAAGGACAAGTGTTAGCTGCATATGGGTACTGGGAATTGAACCCAGGATGTCTGTAGGAGCAGCCAGTGCTCTTAACTGCTGAGCCATCTCTCCAGCCCCTAGTATTGAACCTTTTCAAAGCTAAAACCCTAGATTTTAATGTATTTTATCTTTTATAAATAATGCTTGCTCAAATTTTAATTATACTATTTTAATATATAGTATTTTCTCACTGTACTCAATTAATAAATTACCATTTTTTTCAGTTTCATGAGGAAAAGATCACCATCAGAGTCCTGTTTTCTAAATCTGTGTTTGGTTTCTGTGCAGACGTTGGGTACGGCTGCTGTTTGGGAGAGAGTTCCCTCTGCAGGATCTCCTGGTGGTCTGGGATGCCTTGTTTGCCGACGGCCTCAGCCTGAGCTTAGTTGACTATGTCTTCATAGCAATGTTACTCTACATTCGAGATGCTTGTAAGTGTTTGACTGCCCACACTTGACTACATTGTCTGATTTTTCAAAAAATGTTTTGCCTTTTTAGTGCAGGAAACTTGGTGAAATGTCAATTTAAAACACTGAACACCTTTCTGTTAGTGAACCATGTACATATTGGGAGAGGACTGATTTTATCCTCAAAGAATTAGGATATTCTTTAAAACAGTTTTTATAAACACTTTAGTCCTGCTTTAATTCCCTCATTGCACACAGTTTGTGGAACACATTTAAAAGCCAGCATTTCAGATATGTTTAGAGCTCCACCTTCTGACACATTTTGAGTACTCAAGGATATTTATTAGAGCATTGGAACTGTTTTGATAATATCAGTATCTTGCCAATGAAGAAATAAATATGGAGTATTTGACTTCTTCCCAGTTACATTTTAACAAAATTCATTCCTTAATATAGTGCCCAGTGGATGATGTGCTTCCACCTCTGCAGATCTGCCTTAGGATGCTCGCCACAACCAGAAAGCCAGTGCCAGCTTAAAGATGTACCCCACCCAGCAAGTTCTAGATTTCAGAATGCCTCAACTTATTTTCCTTCTCAGAGAAATAATCAGAGTCCACAAAGCAAGATTTGTATACCAAAACAGATAAATAGGAAAGATTGCACAAAATGCTGTGATTTAATTGGGAAATAGAGAACTATTATTATAAGAGTAGGATTTTGTCAAAGAATATATATTCAATGAGTCTTAACCATGATTGCTGCATTGCTGTGTGGGTCTCTGTGTTCATGGATTGTCAGTCCTGCCAGATGTTCTTGTTATGCTCTGCTAGCACTAATATTCTTTACATTTTTATTATACTTTTTAATTCTCTCAAAATTACTTACAATAAATGATAAGAGCACCATATTTTATCCAGACTATGAGGGTTTTTTGTTTTGGGGGGGTGTTTTTGTTTGGGATTTTTTTGTTTTGTTTTGTTTTGTACGTGTGTGTGCACGTGCGCAACTGAAAGATCAAACAGTTTGTGCTGTTTGACAGACAAAGTGAAAGTTCCTTCAGAGCCAGAACTAATCACTTAAGGATGTGGAAATTATTTGAGGAGACCAGACAGTTAATCAGGACGTTGGTAGATGTGAGAAATATGGAAGTTTTGGATGTTCAATACTAATCTCCCTTTCAAAGTTGTGTGTATTTTGCAGTTGCAAAAAAAAAGAGAGAGTGAGAAAACTCTTCTAGAAAAAAAATCTTTTTGGATAATATTTTCACAAAATTTTGCAATTCAAACAACTATTGAAATGTATTCTGATTTTCTGAAATCTTAAACAATTAAGTTTGCTCTTTTCATCATTTTGGCACATCACCCACATATATTTAACTTAATCATCCTTTCTCTTATGCTAAGATCTACTCTTTTAATTTAATAAAACATGGCAAATTTTTGGCAGCAGAAACCTTTATACATTTTTAATCTTTCCACTGATGATTTTACAAAACATGGATACATGTGGGAAAGTAGAAAAGGGTTGAAGCTGTTTATTCTTTTCAGTGTTTAGTCTAACTTATGGTGATTCTGTTGGTTAGACCCATCACAGTGGATGGCATCCCCTGAAGGTGGAGTGGCTGTTAGGTATTTAAGATCGCCCTTGTCCTAAAGAAGCTTGCTAGCTAGTAGGGAAGATTGGCATGGATCATTTCAAAAGAACTTATCTGATGCTGGGCTTGAGAAGCAGGATGAAAATTTAATACAGGCACTGAGTCCCCAGTGAACTGGCTCTGGGCAAGTGTAGAAAATGGTGTAGGTGTTGGAAGACAAAGAGATCTTCTTTCCAGGCAGAAGAAGTAACATCAACAGGTGCCTTTTATGTGAAGCCATTCGCTGACTATGTGTTTGTGTTTCTTCATGCTGTATGGTTTCACTCTAGTTAAAAGGGAGTGAGGTGAAAGACTGTGGAAGTGACCAAGAGGGATTATGATGATCGCTTCTGATCAGTCAGTCCAAGGGAGGAAATTAAGAAAAGACTAGGGCAAGGAAGACGGATGGAAGTTATGACAGAATTCAGGGAGCAGTGGATTAGAGAGATATTCAGAACTAAACTCACGTGGCTTAGTGATTAAATATGATAGATGAAAAGGAATGGGAATCTATAATAGTGACCTGCTTGGAGGTTTAAGTGACTAGAAAATTGAGTAGGAAATACAACCTTTTAAGAATATAAATGTTTATTTAAGTTTTGCCCGTGCAGCATTTGAAATACCAGTTAGAAATCATAGCATGAAGATTTTTAAAAACTAAGATTGTTGTCAGTATCAGAGATACATAATGAATTTTGCAAATGATTAACAGATATCTGTTATTTAAAACCATGACAGTGAGACTGGGTGTGGTGGCGCATGCCTTTAGTCCCAGTGCTTGGGAGGCTGAGGCAGGTGAATCTCTGTGAATTCAAGGCCATCCTGGTCTGCATAGAGAGTTCCAGGCCAGCGGATGCTACAGGGGGAGACCCTGTCTCAAAAAGACCCCCCCCAAAAAAAGCCATGACAGTGGATATGGTCACCTAAGAATAAAGGGTGATATCCTAGTTTGTTTGTTTGGGATGGTCTTGATTTATATATACTATTCCAAAGTAGCACTTATCGATACTTCCTCTTTCCCTGTCAAAGCCTCCCCTCCAAGATCATAAAAATTATACGGCCACCCTACATAAGGTGAATACATACAGAAAGAATGTGGGCAATGGTGGAATTCCGAATTCCATACTGGCATTTAAGAGATACTGGGAGTGGAGGATGGAGCTCAGTGTCAGAGCACTCATGTACACAAGCCAGTAGGTTTAATCCTTCGTATGGGGGAGGAGAGAACTGGAAGAGGAGAAACTGGTAGTAGAACCTTGAAGAACTGTGTAGTCTGACCTAAGGAGAGAGTAGAGGGACAGAATGAAAGGCTGAAGAAGTTCACATGTACCTGGCACTGGGGGTGTGGGAGAACTGGTGGGGCCAGAGCTGAGTTACATAGTGAAGAACATGGGGAATTACTTGGTGCAGTGTGGCCTTGTCTAGAATCATTTAGTATTGGTTGTTTGATTTGCTTTACCTTTATCTTTTTTTTAATTTTTATTTATTTTTTTTATGTGTATGCATGTATTGCCTGCATGTAGATAAGTGCACCCGTGTCATGCAATGCCCGCAGAGAACAGAAGAGACTGTCAGATCCCCTGGGACTGGAGTTACGGACAGTTGTTAGCTGCCATGTGGGTGCTGGGATTCAAACCTGGGTCTTCTGCAAGAACAGTCAGTGTTCTTAACCACTGAGCCATCTCTCCAGCCTCTCCCATTTTTAATAAGCATTCAAAGTACCGTTTCTTCATGATATTTTCATAACTACTAGTTTTGATTGATTTCCTCACCCCTACCTGCTCTTCTCCATCTCCCCAGCCCCTCCTGTATGTTTTTTACCCTTCTACCCCCAGCTTTCCCCATTCCATATACATGTCACATGTGTTCTATATCCCTGCCCAGCCCTTCTCCCCTAAATTTTCTTTTATTCCATCTCAAGGGCCCATTGCTGGTTCCCTGACCTCTGTGCACACTCACTCCCATATAAAGACACACATAAAAATGCAAAAGTAGATCTTATCTGAGAGAGAAGATGCAGTATTTGTCTTTTTGAGCTTGCGTTACCTCACTTAATATTGTCCAGTTCTATCCATTTTACTGAAAACTTCATAATTTTATTTTTCCTTGTAGCCCAATGAAATTCCTTTGCATATATGTGCCACATTTTCATTATCCATTTATCTATTAAAGACATTTAAATTGATTCCATTTCCTTGCTATAGTGAATAGCAATAGCAGTGTTGATCATTTTTTCTAGCATTACTTTTCCAATAAAATGATGACCTAATAAAATTATAGAAATGGCATCTATATAGTGATCTTCCAGGGACAGAAGAGTAGGAAAGAAACCTAGGTGACTGTTTCGAGTGAGACCAAGATCCATGAAGGCGGGGAGCGCTGATAGAGACTTGTCAACTTTGTGAATTTCTCTTTCAAGAATTGGTGCATGGCTGTTCCGTAGCTAACATCTATGAAAAGAGAAATTACCTTATTTGTTGAAGTCTTAACTTTTTCTCTCATTTATACCCAGTTATACCCAGTTCCCCAGGTGTTTTTTGGCCTGTCTTGATTTCTCTGCTAAATGCAGCATCTATAATGGCACCTAGAGCATAGGAAGCCTTCAAACAGATGTGTATTGAAGGAAGTAACTGAGGAAACAAGAGCCTGAACGGGAAGCCTGTAGAAGGTCAGCTCTGTGGCAGCAGTAAAAACTGCTGCTGATCCAAAAAAAAAAATCACTAGGCTGGTGTCAGAAGTTTATTTATAGATGAAGAAAACAGAAAATGAGTAAATTCCATATTGGAAAAAGGAGGCAGCAAGGTCTTGTGTTATGGATGAGGAAGAGTAGGGCTAGAGGTTCGAGAGCCAAGGTAGATATGGCTGACAAGGACAAGCCTCAGGTAGCCTCCATGAGCTCACAGCAATGCAGTAGCAGCATCCCCAGCTGTGTTCAGTATAGTCCCAGAGGCTAAAAGGAAAGTGAGACAGTGGAGGGTGTGAAGTACATTTCAAAGCAGCAGTTTAAGATGTGTCAGGATGGAAGCACAGCCAAGAAATAGCTGGGAAGACGTCAGAATCAGGATCGAGGTGGATCAAGAGACAGGTAAAGCATAGGAGGCTGTGGCCACACAAGAAGATGCAGAACAGTTATAGATGTGGCCAGAATGACTGACATTAGGAAAGGAGGGCGAAAGTTTACTAGAAAATGAAGGAACTATGAAGAAGATAAGATTTTTAGTTGGTTCTCCATGGGAACCTCACCAGGAATCATAATAGGAAAAGAAGAGTGAACCAGATAGCAAAACCTCAAACAAATAAAAATGGCTAGGAAAGCAAACTTTAATCAATCATTTATTTAAATAACCAGTATTTCAACAAGTAATTGCCAAGTTACTATTACCAGCCCATG